CTTTGTAATGCCAAGTGGATGACTGTATACTATGCTCATACACTTCTAATGTTTAGTCAGAAAGCTTTCTCAATATGCCTGCACATTAATTTTCAAACTGTTTATATGTGAAAGTCTTTATTATATTCAAGTAGCATAAGCTGAAGATACCCTTTGAAAGAGACTAGCCAATTGTGTCAATATAAATAAACAGCATTGTACTTTGAATATTGCATTAAAAATGCAATGAATACACATCTGTTGCATATTGAATGGATATTATAATAATAAACAGAACCTACTATGAATCAGAAAAGCTATGAACTTTGAAATTTAGGCCCCACATCTTGAATGGATCTCTTTTGCTCTTCAGCAAGCTATAGTGAGTAACTTCAATAAGCCATCTGGAATTGGTTCTGAAATGGAGATATTTACTGTAATTTGCCATGCTTTTAAATCCAGCATAATAGTCCTCTAATATAAATGTTTTTCATTTCTTTTCCATCTACGTTATGTTTGCCAGGTATTTTCTTGCAGTAGTATTGTTATCTAAGATGCTGATGAAAATCCATAAATAGTTCAGCACCTGAGGGGGAGAGAGGGCAAGCTGGTTTGAGTCCGTGTAGGCTACATTTAGTATAGCTCATAACATTTTATTCAATAATAATGGTTCAAGGAAAACTGTCAGTGTCTACACTAATGAAGCTTTGGCTGAGGTTTTTACAGAACAGATGAGCAGTCTAGACATTTGTTTATTTTTTTAACACCCAGGCTGGTTTAGGGAGGGGAAGATGTTTCTTAACAAACAGATTTAGTGTAAAATTTACATAATACCATTCTGTTTATTAGTTATGCATTAATATTTTATTGTACACATGTACTGTATATTCCTATCAAACAATCATTGCTCCTAACTGTGACCTATACTTCAAGAATCAAAGTGACGAGTTTTAGATTATAATATTCAAGCCCTTGACCTTAGTCTTATCTAATAGAGCATATGTAATATCTTATTAATAGTTGTCAAGTTAAATTTAGCTTTCAGTTACCTTGGACTTTTAGTTTGTTTTCCTGTGTCTCATTCCTATACAAGTAATTTGTAATTTGAAAATACAAAAATACATACAATATTTACAAGCAATCATTTGAAGTGCAAGAGACAGTGCCATTACAGTAGAGTTGTCACGGAAACACCTGCCTCACCAGCCGAATCAGCCTCCTACACCCGCTCACGATCACCTGATTACTAATCACGGACACCTGCACCCACTTACCACACCAGTCAAAAACACATTCACCTCAGTCACTCGTCGGCTGGTCTCAAGGTTACAAGCATCTCAGCACGGGTCCCTTGCCTACCTATCCACCTGTCAAGCCTAGGATTCCTCAGTTCTCTGCCAATGGACAAGAGTGTCGACCTCAGATAAGACTGTGTTCTCTGCTTCCATTATTCCCTCAGTTTGCTTCTTTTATGTTGGAAGCTGCTCCTCAGTTCCTTTTAATAAACTCACTGACTCACTTTAATCTGCCTGTTTGCCTCTTTGTTCCGGATGTGACAAGAGTAAGATACAACACATTTAGTGGAGTTAGATACACACATAAGAGAAAGAGAAGCGCTTTCCCCTCCTTACTTATAAACAACATATTTTTTAACCCTAACACTAGACACTAAAATATTATTGAGCATTAGCCAGGATGGAGTCTATTTACTTCAGCTTAATAATTTATTCTTCATATTGTAAAACTTTTAATTTAAGAAGACACACAAAACTGACCATCCACAGACAGAAAACTTTCTATCTATCTTTCTATCTTTGTCCATAAGAGATGGGCAGTATGACCAAAAAATCTATTTCATATAATGATGTATATCACAATATAGTTATTTTTTTAATTTATGTGAACTTTATTAGTAAAAATAAGCACAAAGATGCAAATACCAAACAATAGGATTAATACAATTTAGGAAAGATTTAAATGAAATTTAAGAGATTAAGAGATTATATTATTATAAGATAATTTATGTTATTCATAGTTGTCTAACAGTAGCATTTTAGTAAGAAATAACAGAAATTGAATAATCAAAAGTAATATAAAAATGCATAGTCTTTACTCTATGAATTAAATGTAGATTGATCATTGTTAAAGCTACTTAAGTAGTGGGTTATTTTCTCTTTTTCTTATTGTCTGATTACAATTAAGGATATAAAGAGCAGCAGGTATGTTGTCACTTTAAGACGCATACATGGATCCAGTATATCGATCCATATTTCTTCTAATTTCTTATGTTCACTTAAGACATGTAATATCTGATTACTTAATTTTAGGGAATTAATTATTATTAATTCATTCAGGGTTTGAAAGGACTCGAATCTGAAAATTCGAAGTCAACCTGATTAGAACTGATTTCAAATTTGAATGGTTTACACCTTATCAACGGTCGTCCAGCGAGACGTTAATGTTCATGCATCTTAACAATCTGACTATGTGTATTTTCCTTGGCCACAGGTCAATAAAATTATGATAATTTGTAAGCTCCTAGCGAGGTAACGTGATCTTGTCAAGGTTTGACTTTAAACTTATACGACACCAGACAATGATTCTTTATAAATGAAACACAAATTTATTGGCTATTCTAGATTACATTAAACTAAGCTAAAACACACATACACACACACATTTACATACA